CCTTCTCCTGTAGAGGGCACTTATTTAGAGGCGTTTTTAAACAGTTAAGCACCAAGCAGAGTCATCCACTGTGACTCTGGCAGCAACTACATCAGCCTTTTTCCTTTTATATATTTTTTTCTTTTCATGATGACAGTGGTGAGGCTCTACATACCGCAATCCTGCACTATTTTAACAAGATACCAACCAAGCCTTTGGACAAAGAGCAATGTGGTTAGGAGACATGTTTCATATTATTTTGGGTTTGTTGTATTTGCTTTTTTCCTATCTGCTGCATCATTCTTTACCAAACCTGCTCTAATAAAACCATGAATTTCATTCAGATTGGCCTAACTGGGTGGAAAAATAGGCAGCTAATTCCTAGGTAATAAACTACTCTTTACACCCATCATTTGGCCTTTTACCTACAAAGCAAAGAAGGAAAAATTTAACTAAAATCTGCTGGGTCAAACCAGAAGCAAGTGAACTGTTGTTCTCTCTCTTCCCCCCCACCAAAAAAAACCCCCAGAGAAACACAAGGCCTTATTATATTCTAATCTTTCAAGATGCCAATAGCAGGCAGGGACACTGAAGTCTGGAATTTGTCAGCTACGTCTCAGGTTTTCTTCACGGTCTTGCCATGCAAAATATTGATTAAAACTGTATTGATAAAACAAAGTGAAACACAAATGCTCAGCTTTTCAAGACAAAATTTGAAATGGCAGCTAGGCAAAACATTCTTAATAAATTATGAGACTTAACACCGGAGTAGCCTCTTCACCACTAACAGATAAAGATTATCTTGTTCAGAAAGCTGATGAATATTCCTCATGGTTTGATGGGGGTAAGCGTTCTTATTTCTACCAGCATTTCTTGCAACTCCATATTTAGTTTAAGTTGTTTTTTTCTTAGTCAACAGTACCTTTAAAAATGACAAATTGGCTCATGCATCTAATAACACAGTTTAGTTTTATCTTGCCATCTAACCAACCCAAACACTGTGTTTTGTATGCTATGGTTTATAACAAATTACGTGGATCTAGTCAATTGTTGTTTAATGAACAAATCATTGTCATGTTATGCATGAATCCAGCTGAACATATACTGAATGCATCTTGAGGTCTCATCTCTTTAAGAAGAATCCAAATAAACTTACATCATACATATTGGAAGAAACTGGAGTTATAGACCAAGCATTATCAAATATTCAATGATCTTTGTTATGGGTAATTTTTTGGAAAATGTGTAACATTATCTACTACATGTATAGCCTTACAGGTAGTCCTTAACTGACAATTACAATTAAATCTGAAATTATGATCATATGTTATAGTAGTGGTTAAGGGGGGCATTATGTGACCAACCCGATTTTATGACATTTTATGGTAGTCATTAAGCAAAACGTTTCTCTGCAATGGCTTGTTGTTTTTTTTTAACTACAAACAACTATAATGCATTGTAAATCCTGACAATTGACCATTAAATGCTGCAAACCGCTGTAAATGCAGGCTGGCTGCTGATTGCCAAAAATGTGATCACGTGACTACGGGAGCCCAGCTGTCAAAACTTTGAATCCAGATCAGAAATGCTTTTTGGGAAATCCATTTAACTTTGAACAGGCACTAAGCAAATTGTTGTAAGACGAGGACTATCTGTATCTACATTATGTTGAAAATACTTGTGTGGTTATAATGAACTCAAGAGAGATTTCAACTCTTTTTTTTTTCAGGGTTATATTGTGAACTCATTATCCTACGGGAGAAGCTAGCCAGAAATAAGAAAATTGTAATATCATGCCATGGGGCAGCAATGGCAAACCATTTTCATATCATGCCAGAAAAAAACATCATGGATGTATCTATCTAAGTTACAAGGGATAGAACTCAACTCAAAGGTGATTCTGCTTCACAAGCATACTTTCTAATTATTTAATCAACTTCTGCAGCAATCACAATTAACAAGAAAATTGGGAATCAAGGTTTGAAGTTCTGGCAAATAATAATTAGAATAATTATTAAATAAATAATAAATACTTAAATGCAAAAATATTTAAACTAATTAAACATTTGAAAATCTTACCTCTTGGGATTTTATACCCAGTCTCCCCTGGTTTTCTTAGGTTTCTCAAAATATTATCAGAGTGCATGTTAATCAGGAGACCACCTAGCCAGGCCGCAGTCCCTGGAATAAACATTTGAAAGCAATGAATTGAAATGTGGGATTTTATTTTTTTAAATAATGTAAATAGCATATATTTGTGTTGTCTTTGGTTATTCGGGTTTTCTCCCGCGTAAAATTGGAGGTGTCTTGGCGACATTTCAACGAAGTCTCATTCGTC